GATGCCCGTGTTTCACTATTCTTTCCATGTGCTTGTTGCAGAATCCTGCTTATTATTATTATTATTATTATTATTATCTATAACCTGTTTATAATGTGTTACACTTTGTCCTGCGCTAACAGATCTTAAATCTTGAACATCACACTCACTGTATGTAGATGGTGCATTCACTGCTATTCTTCTTTGACGCTGTCGCTATTTGCCTTTCTTTTAATGTTTCGTGATCAACGACACTAACTTCTTCGCGTTGAGGGCACATTTAACACGTGTAGTTCGTACCAACGTTAGCTCTTGCGTTCAGAGCTGCGTCGGTGTTGCAATATCTAATGTAAAAGACCTGCATGTCGCAAACGGCAGAAATAAATGCTCAATATGTTGGGCTTTGAAGTTGCATTTCATTTGAATGGGTTTGTCAGGAGAGCCTGACTTGCCACGAATGGCAATGCCGAGGAGCCTGCAGATGCGGGTGATCTGCACGACTTGCAGAGAGTAGACACAGATGCAATAAATAAATAGATAAATAGATAAATAGCTAAATCAATCAATCAATCAATCAATCAGCACAGTTGCATTTGATACGAAGCCTCGTCACGTAGCAATAATCTCCGAGTGGACAGATTGCAATTCCAAGCCCCGTTATTCCTCAACTTTCCCGGTTTTGCGTTGCCTTAGTTACAGAGAGTTCAATTGCACATCATCAGGTTGATGATCACCCCGGTACCCACCCCCCCCCCCACCCCCACACCCCCCCCCTCCCCACACCCACACAACCCACCCCCCCCCCACCACCCACACCCACACACCCCAACCCCCCCCACACCCACACCACCCAACCCCCCCACACCAACCCCCACCCACCCCGCCCCAACCCCCCACCCACCCCGCCCCAACCCCCCACCCACCCCGCCCCAACCCCCACCCACCCCGCCCCAACCCCCACCCACCCCGCCCCAACCCCACCCACCCCGCCCCAACCCCACCCACCCCGCCCCAACCCCCCACCCACCCCGCCCCAACCCCCCACCCCCCGCCCCAACCCCCACCCACCCCAACCCCCACCCACCCCAACCCCCACCCACCCCGCCCCAACCCCCCACCCACCCCGCCCCAACCCCACCCCCCGCCCCAACCCCCCACCCACCCCACCCCAACCCCACACACCACCCCAACCCCACACACCACCCCAACCCCACACCCACACCACCCCCCCACGACCCCCCACCACCACCAAGAGCAACCCTGCTCAGTTAGCCGAAATCAGCCCAATACGTCAGACCCCTCCCCCTCAAGTAGGTTTGGGGTTTTTGGGGGAAAAAATGATTTTCCCAAAGCAAATTATCTTTTATTGGGGGGAAACCATCCGGTGGGAATTCCCAGCGCCGGGCAATACTGTGCCACAAGGACACAGTGCGTGGTGTCAACACACAGATAGCAAACAGGAGGGAGAGAGGTGGAGGGGGGAGGGAGGGAGGGGAGAGAGAGGAGGGGAGAGAGGAGAGAGGAGGAGGGAGAGAGGAGGGGGGGAGGGAGGAGGGGAGAGAGGAGGAGGGGGAGGGAGGGGGAGGGGAGGAGGAGGGAGAGGGGGGAGGAGGGAGAGAGGAGGGGGGGGGAGGAGGGAGAGAGGAGGGGGGGAGGGAGGGGGAGAGAGGAGGAGGGAGGGAGGAGGGGGGGGGGAGAGGAGGGGGAGGAGGGGAGGAGAGGAGGAGGGAGAGAGGAGGGGAGGAGGAGGGAGAGAGGAGGGGGGAGGGAGGAGGGGAGGAGGAGGAGGGGGGAGGGAGGGGAGAGAGAGGAGGAGGAGGGAGAGGAGGGGAGGGAGGAGGGAGAGGAGGGGGAGGGAGGAGGAGGGAGGAGGAGGGGGGAGGAGGAGGGGAGGAGGAGGGAGAGAGGAGGAGGGGGAGGAGGGAGGAGAGAGGAGGGAGAGAGGAGGAGGGAGAGAGGAGGAGGGGGGAGGGAGGGGAGAGAGAGGAGGAGGGAGAGAGGAGGGGAGGAGGAGGGAGAGAGGAGGAGGAGGAGAGGAGGAGGAGGGAGAGGAGGAGGGGGAGGGAGGGGGAGAGAGGAGGAGGGAGAGGAGTGGAGGAGGAGGGAGAGAGGAGGGGGGGAGAGAGGAGGAGGAGGGAGAGGAGGAGGGGGGAGGGAGGGGAGAGAGAGGAGGGGGAGAGAGGAGGGAGGAGGAGGGAGAGAGGAGGGGGGGAGGAGGAGGAGGAGGGAGAGGAGGAGGGGAGAGGAGGGGAGAGAGAGGAGGAGGGGAGGGAGGGGGGAGAGAGAGAGGGGAGGAGGGAGAGAGGAGGAGGGGAGGGAGGGGGGGAGAGAGGAGGGGGGAGGGGGGAGAGAGGAGGGGAGGAGGAGGAGGGGGGAGAGGAGGGAGAGAGGAGGAGGGGAGAGGGAGGGAGAGAGAGGGGAGGGAGAGAGGAGGAGGAGGGAGAGGAGGGGGGGGAGAGAGGAGGAGGGAGAGAGGAGGGGAGGAGGAGGAGAGAGGAGGGGAGGGAGGAGGAGGGGGAGGAGGGAGAGAGAGGAGGAGGGAGAGAGGAGGGGAGGAGGAGGAGAGAGGAGGGGGAGAGAGGAGGAGGAGGGGAGGAGGAGGGGAGGGGAGGGAGAGAGAGGAGGAGGGGAGGGGAGGGGGGAGAGAGGAGAGGGGAGGAGGAGAGAGGGAGGGGAGGGGAGGGGGGAGAGAGGAGGGGGGGGGAGAGAGGAGGGAGGAGGAGGAGGGGGAGGAGGAGGGAGAGAGGAGGAGGGGAGAGGGAGGGGAGAGAGAGGAGGGAGGAGAGGAGGGGGGAGGAGGAGGGAGGAGAGGAGGGGAGAGGGGAGGAGGGGAGGGGGGAGAGGGAGAGAGGAGGAGGGAGAG